AGGATTAACAAAATATAAAACAATAATTCTAAAGATAAAAACTTTTAAACTTTGAATCGTATCAGTGAACCTCAAGATAAAGCAGAATTAGGATAAAAATAGCCACTGTTCTCTCATTAAGTCACTTTGTTTTCACTTATCCTCTCCTTTGATAATGCCACCCAGAGATGAAGTCTGCAGCTTTGACAGCTAGTTAAAACCTTCAGCCATCCCACTTACCCAGGGAAAGCCCTCAGTGACGTCACTAATTAGCAAGTACCATCTTTCCTTCCTGCCTTGATTGTTGCTCTATATCAAAAATCAATTACTTCATTTTGTATTAATAAAGCATCTTTCTATCCAATACCTATCATATAGAGTTTCAATAACTGATGAATGGACGGATGTTTGAGTTAACTATGGCAGCTCCTAGTTATTCCCTTACTATAAGCAGGTATTGTGCCTGGTACTCCACGTACATTATCTACCATACGGAATATTATTTACTACCAATTTTCAGATTGGAAAGTGTGACGCAAATAGGTTTACTAAGTCATCCATGGTTACACAGCCAGTAAATAATCGAGCTGGAATCCAGTCCACAGAACATAAACCCAAGGGGTCATGTTCTTTCCTCTGTGCCTTAGCACTTAGGATATGAGATTAGCTGATAGCATCCAGCACTCTATCAGCCACATTCTACATCTTCTTATAGAGAGCAAAGTACACACTCTTGATCCATTTCTTTCCTCCAACAACCATGACATGATACCTAATGAAGCCTGACAGAACAGACCTGTTGATCTAGCAGAACACTCGTTTAAAAGCCTTATAATGGTTATTGTTGTGTGAAGCTATCTAATTCCACTTTAATAGAAAAGCGGGGTTTCTATGTGGAAATTCATGAAATTTTGCTAAATTTTTAGGGTAATGACCAGATTTTCAGCCAAGTCTTATTGTCTGTCTCATCGAATAGATCAGTAATCTGAGGAAATTAACATTGGTAAAAAGTCAGAAGATGGAGAACTTAAAAAAGATTAACCTTTATATAGCCTTTTCTTAGTTCATATCTGATAGAATTTCATAGCATAAACTTGTAGGTAATGTAATTGGAAATACTTTAAAATGGAAAACAAATACAAAATATCTATAATGGATTGAAGTCCTCTGTTTCTTCAAGGTTGAATTAGGCATCACCTCACAAAGACAGGAGATGAGGAAGAAGTATCAAACTCAAAGGACATTTAAACTCAAAGGACATTTAAACTTATAACCACAAGCTTAACTCTCTGAGCAGAGAGAAATATCTCATGGAAACTTTGGAGCTATGTGTGGTAGGGACTGTTCTCTTCTAGACCTTGGTGCACCTAAGACAACCTGCAAGGAGACCAGAGCAGTGAGCCGAGTGAATGGAATACCCACCACAATGGTGCTCCCAGGACAAACTCAACATTCTCTGCTTTCAACTTCCTTTCCACACCCAATGAAGGTTCTGAATAATCGAGCCATAGAAACTTCGCACAGAAGCACAAATAAGATACCATCTCTGAGGTCACCTGATTTTGCCACAAAACTCTCCATAGTCAATGCCCACAATTTCATGTATATTTCTTTTTAAAAAAAACATATTTTAGATTAGTCCCTAAGAGGAGACAATAATTATATCTCTCTAATATAAATGACAGTAGAAATATTTAAAGTATCAGTTTTGCCACATTCTTTTCAGTATTAAGTATTTTACTTTTTAAAAAATAAGTGAAAAATGGTATCTTGAGGATTTAATTTCCATTTCTTTTATTACCAGAACAAGTTTAAATGTTTTCTATGTTTATCTGTTTCAACTGCTTCCTCTTTTAAAAATTATTTTAAATTGAGTTGTCTAACCTTGCTGAGATTCAGTGTCGTCACCTGTAAAGTGAAAACAATACCACACACTGCACACCGTTGCTGTGAAAATCAAATACAATCAATTAAGTGAAAATACTGAAGAAGCCTGGCATGTAGCAGTTGCTCAATTTATAGTTAAATGAATAAATCAAAGAACGAGTGATCAGTTACACAGAACTTAAACAATGGCCAAAAATATTAATCTAATATTCATGTAGAATCTAGGCACAAAACTTGTGATGGGGAGAAAGTACAGTTTTTAATCAACATCCAAATGATGTCAGATGTCACTGCCATTACCTTTTCCCCATCAACACCTGCCTTACCTTGAAAACAGACTTACAAAGAGGCATTACAATGTAGTACAACCTTGACAAGCCTAGGTGTAAAAGTAATTCCGTCTACCTCTCTACCTCCCTCTCAGTGATCTCCCCAAGACCAAGGATGCCCTGGGAGATTTTTATCTCCACATCTGATAACAATTTCTTTGGCCTTGGAAAGAGCCTATTCCAGGCTCTTCTAGTGGCTGTTTCAATTTAAAAAAAGAAAAACACACTATAGGACATCTTTTTCTTATTTGAGGAAAAAAAACATTATTTATAGGATTAAAAGGGAAGCTACTGTGGAAAGCACTTGATAAATTATAAAAGCACAAACGTAACTGAAAGGCATCATTATGATATCATACCACAAAACAGTCTGATTTAGAACTCATAGATCAAACTTAAAACTAAATCAGCTCTACAAAAGGACCTACACAGAATGTGAACTTGGTCCTAGATTTCAGTTTCTGATGAAATATCTTAAAGCTCTTGCTCACAGATAGAAGTATTTGCAGCCAGAATGCAGTTATTCTCCTCTGTTATTCAGAATCTATTCTGATATCAATAATAGTGGTAAAAAAAAAAAAAAAAAAAGTGAAGAAAATAATCATGAATGAAATGCACTAGTCCTCTTCCTATCAAGTGACCAGCAGTCAAATATCTTTGATGCCAAGGACAGCTGTTCGGAGGAGAAAAACCTCAGAAAGTGGGTCTGATTGCATCACTTCATTAGCTGGGGCTTCCTGGTGGTTTATAATTTACTTGGTAAAAACACATAGTCAAACATTGGTCAAGTCCCCTGAAAGGCATCCAGAAAGTTGTCCTTGCTTATTTCACTGACACAGAGCTAGAAAAGTGATGCGGAAGTCCCATGAAACAGAGAAGAGACTGCCCTCTGGAACTCGGTCAGTGCGCATGTCCTTTAGAAATAGTGAGTCAGACCATAGGTATAAGGTCAAGAGAAATGGTTCCTAATAAGAAACCAAATCAATGCTAATTTAAAAACTAAAGTCAAAGTGATATAAGCACTCTTTGGAGCTACTTTCTGCATAAAAGAAAATGTATGTTCTCGAAAGTCAGCTTATGAAATTACTAAATGAAAAATATAAAGCATAGCAACCTAAATTTTTTTTTTTTTTTAGGCGAGGCAACCCTTGCTTGACCTCACAGATTGTGAGGACCTTGTCAGCTTACAATCCCTTATTTTTTAATGTATTTTATTTTTACGCCTACAGCACCTGGTCTTCCTAGGTGGTCTCCCATCCAAGTACTAACCAACTAGGCCTGACCCTGTTTAGCTTCTGAGAGCAGACAGGATCAGGCTTGCTCAGGGTAGCATGGCTGTAGACCTAAATTTTTTTTTAATGATTCTGATCATGACGAACATTCTTCATATTAAAGTCAGACTACCCTTTCAATAACAATATCAAGTGAGTCCAATTTTTTGACACCTAAAAAGCAAATTGCCCATGATAATCTCCAAAGGTTTAAGAAGCTCAGTCATGCCCAGGTATCGTCATTATGACCTGAGATGTGGCAAATTTCCTGTGGAAGTAAGATGAAGATAGATCTGGGGCCATAATTTTTTCAGATGCAGAAAGAAATTTTTTCTAACCATTCAAATGCTCAATGTTAAAGGTTTGCAACCAGGGGCATCAAATTGTTGATTTACAGGCTGTCACAATTGCAAGGAATCATTATAGTCCAATTCTCTCATTTTACAGTAGGTAACAAATAAGGTAACTGACGCGCTCGAAGTTTCACAATGACTGAGATAACCCAGGGAATCCAGGAAGGAGGATGGAAATTAGTTCTATCCGTGACATCAAGCCTCTCCAGCCCCATCGCTAGGCTCTCACTACATCCTGTTGTTCTGATTAAGCAGAGAACTGCCTAAGTCACTGAGAGCAAATGTGTATCCTGGAAAAAAAAAATCATTCAGCACTTTCTTTGTCCCTCTTCATTCCAGACCCCACATTTCCTATTCAGACAGCCCCTTCCTTGCCACTCAGCTCCATCTCTTGAGGGCTTTTCCTCCAAGTGCAAGTTCAGCATTTACAGCTTCTCTAGGTTCCCATGGCACAAATCTCCTCTTTTACTTTGGTTTCCACTATAGCCAGAAGTGGTGGACTGTGGCAACAGATTCCTCCTTGGACCTTTAGAATCACAAGGGACATAAGCAGGTTTTGCTTGAAATGCAGAATTTCTGCTAATCAGCTTATGGCTGGTTTGGCCACATGAATGATTCTTCTGTGCTACCTAATCCATCTCTGTAATTTCCTTTCCGGTGAGTATGTCAGTCTGTGTGTGTCTAGTGGTGCACGTGGCTGTGGGGTGGATAGGGGTGGGTTTATGTGTCGTTGCTGCTGTTTAGAAATGAGAATCATCCTCCCTTCTAATGGCCATTTAGCCACTCAGATTCAGTTTACGAACCTCATCTCCCTACAAGGTTGTTGCTTTAACTGTAGGACTGCTTTATCTCCAAATGGCCTTGAATGTGGATCAAGCTAATAATATGAGAGAGAAAGAAAAACTATCCCTGTGCACCTTTATCTCAGATGTTAAGAATTACTGGAGTGCTTGACTGCTAACCAAGTGACAAAACCAGTTCACGGTGACACAAAAAATAAGAGAAAGGCTGTTAAATGTTTAGAGTCACTTCAATAAGATATTCTTCCCAACTGACTCCACCGTTGTAAATAGCGTCATTGTAAAAATACAATTTTAAAATCAAAAGACTATCTTATTTTGTTTTGGCATCAAAACATTTAACTGCATCTTTTTAATGCTGTGTGTAAGAAAATGGTTTACCTTCCAGCATTTTCTGCAGACTGTTTCTCATGACATGGATGTTCTCTATCCCAATAAACTGAAACTTGATGTTAGAATAATTGTCTTCGTTCTCATAGCCTTTCCCTGCAGCACGATTTGCCATGGCATTAAGCTGCAGGGGTCAGCAAAACAGAACAGTCACCAATTATATTCAGAACATGAAACGACCAAAACATTTTATGGATATCCATAAAAACATTCAAAATGATATGCAGAAATATAACATTTTTTAAATTACTGAAACATGTACTGAACTACGTAGTTTCAGACACACATGCTAAGCTTGTATTCAATGACATAAATTCATTGACGTGAGGAACATTTTCTGAGCTGGTAAGAAGCTTTCTGTGGATAAACCCTTCTGAAGATGTCTCTCACAGTTCCCTGACACAGATGTCAAAGTGAATACAGGATTCTGTGACAGCGACAGGTTGCCCAAATATAATACTAAACATTAAAACCTGCAGGTTGGCAGAAGAATGTCGGCAGACACAACTGTCAACATAAAGCTCTGTAAGTCAAATCATGATATCTTCCAGTATTATACTGCAATTAAGCACATCATCACATAGGAATGGTTGCCTCATTCTAAATTGCCTACAAGAATCCCCAAGACATCTAATTAAATCTTGAGCAGGAACCACTGAATACGATGAAGACAGGGTATGCAGATGATAAGTCTCCAGAGGCATGTCCTTCAGCTACCTTATTTAAATCTAGAGACCTCTTAGGGCTTTTTGATCATTTTCATTACCATCATTTTGTATACAAGAAGTGGGGGTTTCCTAGTGCAAATACGTTCAATGATAATGAATTTTGAAGAAATTTATTAAATACAGGCTTTTGTCTCAGTTTTGTGTAACTAAAATCAAGAAGGGGAAAAGTCCTGCCTTAGCTAGGAAATATATAGACTTTTAGAATGAATAATTTATTGCTAATACGCCAGTCTTGCTGTTTGGCTAAGTGAGTAATCACAAACTAGAAAACAGTATTCACTGGCCATTCTTGTCCTCTGCCCACAGAGGGCTGGGGGCTCTCCCAGGCAGAGAACTGACACCGAGGAGCCACCACTGGAAAAATTACCAGAGGACGTTAATAAATATTTTTCAAAAAGCTAAGTTTAAAAAGCTAAATTAAGTTAGAAACATACATATACTTTGACTCGGGTCTCCTACTTGTGAGAATCTGACACAATTAAAAGTGGCAGCACCTAAAGCTAGTTGTCCAAGAATGATGTTTATTGCAACTTTTTTTTATACCAGTAAAAAAGTGGACACCTCTGAATCTCTCAATAGGGGTATGACTAGATAAATTATGATATATTCATGCCATATACTACTAAAAGTATCAAGAAAAAAATATATGTATATATATGGAGAGAGAGAGAAGCACAAGAGAGAGACTAACTTGGAATTGGCCCATGACTTGTTAAGTGATTAAGCTATAGAATAATATTCACACTATTATCCCATTTTTTCATAAAACAAACCAACCTACAGATATGCATTTATTTTTATGTGTGTTTTATTAAACAGAATAAAAATGTATGAATTTTTATCCAAGACTATATGAATTTGGTGGGAGTTTCAGCAGAAAGAGAGGTGGCAAGTGGCAGGGGTACGCTTTATCAATAAAGGGTAGTATTTATCAATACTACTTCAGATATTCCTGTATTTATTGTTACAAAGAAAATATATCAGGCTCGTGATTTAAATAATAGAAATAAAATGTATTAGAAGTGAAAAATAAGACATGAGGGCAGCCATTGCCATAGGGGCTCAGGCTGGCAGACACGTCATATTTTCACAGCCGTCCTGCCCCACGATTTAGCTCATGTGCCATTAGCTGGGGCACATTAGCCCCTCAGGACGCTGTTTCCAATTTACAAAAGATGATATTTTTCTCCCTGGAATGCTATGAGAATAAACGGTTTGGCCTTAATCAAGAAAAAATATAAAAATGTTATTTTTAAGACAACTTATTTTCATGCTTTAAAATATTTAAGTATTTTTAGGGGAAAATTTTTCTACAATTTAGACACTATTACAAGGAAATTTACTATTATAAAATATCACTGCTTTGTATAATTATTTTCCAAAGAAGTTACAAGCTTTTTACTAGGATACCTGCAAGCATCCTTCTGCTACATGAACCTTAAGTTTATTCTCTATCTTAAATAATTCACGAAAAGCGAACACACCACATACCACAGAGATACTCTTGTTAAAGTTCAATGAATAAAACTCATAATACTAGTACTATTATTATTTTAATCTATAAATAGGGTTCTGTCCACATTTTTTAAGTAGTTGGCTACTTATGACCTGGGAGAATTTATTGGTAGTCTTTAAAAGCAAGCAACACAAGATGGCCTCTTGAAAGTCAATGGTACTTCTCATTATGAACAGAAGGTGGCACTATTTAACCTACCATCCAAAGGGTACTTTCTCAAGGTTTCCACATATTTCACAGGTCTATCATGATAATGTGGCAAAAGCTGAACTCTCAAAGCAGGAAACACAGTTTTATAATAAAGAAAATTCAAGAAGTAATAGTGTCCCTTATACAGACAAAACACTATTAGAAGTCTAATTTGGTCTCCTGTCCCTTTGGTTGAGAAGTCCATTTCACAACCAAAGGTAAAGCTTTTCATTTCAGCTCCCCAAAATTCCCAAATAGATAAAACAATGACGGTAACTGCACACTAGTTTCAATTTCCCTTAAGGAACACAACAGACAAATGAAAGTAGGATTAGAAAGAGTGCCCCATTTTCTAACCCAAGATGACTCTACTGTTGATAATCTCAGCACCTCTGAGTGCAGAAAAGCTTATAAATGAAATAAAAAGAACCCATTCATTTCTCATAAACTCTTCATGAACACCTAGTGTGTGCCAGACACTGAAGAAAATAAAATGATGAATAAGCTGTTCCTGAGGCCATAAGCTCATCACTGCATGTGTAAGGGAAAGCACTAGCACCAAATAAACAGTAATGGACAATGCCCACCAGGACTGGCCAGGAGCTGGGTGACTGACTGGTAAGAGGCAGTGACAGGAGTTCCAGTCAGAAGCAGCCTCATGTGGCCTAGGGGATCAGGAGTAACGGTTCATGAAAGAAGGAGGACTTGAGATGGACTATAATAATCTGAAAAAATAGAGAGAGAAGGGCAGTCTAGATGAAACAGTGAGGAAGGAGAGGTGGAGACAGACAAAAATCAAAGGAGCAGGTGGGTACTGGATAGCCGACCAGTGTGAACGGAGTAGAGGGTTCATGTATGGCGGCAGTAGCGCGAGAAGAAGTTAAAAAATATTTAGGTTCCTCTACGAACAGGCTCCATTTAGAAGTTTAGACTTTCTCTGTGCCAGTTGAGAGCAACTGAAAGATTCTGAGCAGGTGTAATTGAAAAATTTGAAATTTAGTGTCCATAACTCCTAAGATCCACTGGAATGGGGTAGAGCATGGAAGCTCCACTGGCGGCTTGTTGGTCTTGCTTATGGCCAAATCCCACCCCTCGATCTGGCACGTGACAGGCACTCAATGAAGATTTATTGACCAGCTGACCTATCAAACAAATGACTGAATAACAGAATAAAGGTTAAAGGTGAACAGACCAAGAATGTTAAGAAATAGAGTCAGAGTCTTCCCTTAACCCTAAACCAATCGATCAGACATATACAAAC